GTGTTCTGCTGGGATCCATTGGTCTCTCCATACTAAGGTTGTTTCTCCGGTTCCAATAGTTCTTCTCAGCCCCTTTTGGAGGAGATCCTTGGCCGCCATAATGCTTCGCCACCTGAAAGATGGTGCATTCGATTTCTCTACCTCAAGTGGGGACGTATTTCTGTAGTACCGACTCTTCAAGATCCTTGCCAAAAGAGAGGATGGATAGTACAACAGTCTCCATAATTGTTTCGCCAGTAGAGCAAGATTAAACAATTGTAGATCGCGAAAGCCGAGACCTCCCTTCTCTATCGGGATACAGATTTTGTCCCAGGCTATCCAATGTAGCCCCCGACTATTTTGTTTATTGCTCCACCAAAAGTTGGAAATAGCGCTTTGGAGTTTCTTGATTATGTCTTGTGGAAGCAGAAAACAGGACATAACATATGTTGGTAGAGCTTGAGCTACAGATTTGATAAGTACTTCTTTACCTCCTCGAGATAAAAGTCTAGCTGACCAAGAGTTTATACGCTTACTAAGGCGGTCTTGTACGAATGCAAAAACTTGTTTCTTGGAGCCACTTATCTTTTCTGGTAGACCCAAATAGGTTCCCATACCTCCTTCCTTAGTGATACCGAGTGTACGTTTGAGCTCAACTCGAGTTGCTTGTGGAACCTTGCTACCAAAAAATATTGATGACTTCGCTGTGTTTAATTGTTGTCCCGAAGCTACTCCATAACATTTAATGATCTTAAATAACTCTCCACACTGCAGGACATCAGCTTTACAGAAGAACAAGCTATCATCTGCAAACAGGAGATGGGAGATTGGTGGGCATGATCTCGCAATTCTCAACCCCGTGATCCTTCCTTCTTCCTCCGCACCTTGTATTTGTGCAATGAGCGCTTCGGTTAAGATAATAAACAAAAAAGGTGAGAGTGGATAACCCTGTCTAAGGCCACGAGATGGTATAATTTTCCCTTTTGCTTCTCCATTGATCAAAACTTGATATGAGACAGAGGAGATACAAAGCATAATCCATTGCACCCATGAACTAGCGAAGCCAAGTTTCAGCCCCGAGCTCCATATCTTCATCGGGGAGATCATCATTATCGATCATTGTATCATCCATCAATGGGTTCTCTATTTCTTCCATCATATTTTCCAAATCAGCCTCTGTGTATTCCCCTTCTTCAGCCTCCATGTTCTGCTCCTGTTCGCAGAATTCTTCTCCAACCGGAGTAGTTTGCCTTGGAGGAGACAACAGGTTATGGGAATCTAAGTCCTTTGGGTCACTCTTACCCCCCAATAGCAGGCTCATTGATGGAGAGGCTTCCCAGCTTGCGACCTAAGGCAAGATCTTTTATTCTCTTCGCTTCTGCCCTGGATGCCTCTGTTTCTATCGCTTTCCCTTTTAGTTTACGGATACGGTCTTCCTCCTTATTCTTGGGATAGACGACAAGGACCCCAGAACCTCTTCTATCAGTTGGGCCCTCGTTATCTCCTCTCGCTGACAGAGTGCGCTGGTAATCAACTGGCGTGTTGAAACCCTCCCTGTTATGATTGGAGACACGGGAGCTTGGGGTTTCCATTTGGTTTGGGAGAGCCTTGTTGTAGGGATGTCTAGGTCTCCACATTTGGTGGGAATTGTTTCTCGAGGTATCTCTCTCCCGAGTACGATCATAAGCACCTTTGTAGGGATGGTATCTTTCTCGAGATACAGGAGTACGTCTCGTGGGTAATCTCTCGACTTTTATTCTCTTCGCTTCTGCCCTGGATGCCTCTGTTTCTATCGCTTTCCCTTTTAGTTTACGGATACGGTCTTCCTCCGTATTCTTGGGATAGACGACAAGGACCCCAGAACCTCTTCTATCAGTTGGGCCCTCGTTATCTCCTCTCGCTGACAGAGTGCGCTGGGAATCGACTGGCGTGTTGAAACCCTCGCTGTTATGATTGGAGACACGGGAGCTTGGGGTTTCCATTTGGTTTGGGAGAGCCTTGTTGTAGGGATGTCTAGGTCTCCACATTTGGTGGGAATTGTTTCTCGAGGTATCTCTCTTCCGAGTACGATCATAAGAACCTTTGTAGGGATGGTATCTTTCTCGAGATACAGGAGTATGTCTCGTGGGTAATCTCTTGACCCTGTTCCACACATCTTTTCCTCTCGAATCCCTTTGTTGCTTAAGTTTCAGGCGCAGATCTCTTTCTCTCTCAATCCCACTTCTTCTAGCATTCATGTAACGGTCCTCATGTCTAGAGGAAGTCGGAGGAGGGAAATCACGATAGTCTCTATAACTCGCTCCACGTCCCTCGCGTTCATGTCCCAGGAGTCTCCCGGTTTGTATCTCTTCCCGTCGACCTTGTTGGAGTCCTCCACCATACCCCCTCAGATACGGGGTATGCTCCTGGTTTAGCTCGAGCCTTTGTACCCTATTCTTCTCACGTTGATCATCTGTAAGCGCAGGACAAGTTCCTTCTTCATGGGATAATAGTTTACAGGTGAAGCAGTATCTATGGAGACCAACATATTCCAGTTTCGCCATTCCTGTATCCCCATTGGGGAAGCCCACTTTCTTTTCGAACTGTAAAGGCTCATCAGCATTGATCGATACCTGGAACTTTGCCCGGTGCGCTTCAATCAACTGGACCACTCCAAGCGCCTTTCCGATCTCTTGAAAGGTATCATCGTTCCAGAAATGAACAGGAATACCCGTTACTTTAACCCAAAACACCATCGTATTAGGATAAGACTCACTAGTGAACGGGGTCCATTTCTCAAGCGAGAAGTTCCACCTATTAAAATGCCATGGACGCTTCCTAGGACCTTTGTCATATCCTCCTCATTATCAAAGTCGAAAAGGAACTGCCCATTTCCTAAACTTGTTCCTCTGGCTCTTCCTTCTACATCCCAAATCTTTGGCTTTGGGAGCATCCCTAAAATCGCATCCATGTTTCTTCCTTCTCTGTGGAACATTCTACCAATCACAGTCAATTTAAATTTCTCTGCAGCCGATGTCATATCGTACGCAGGAAGCTTTATAATTTCCTCCTCCAGATTTAGTCTACGTCTCGCTTGACTAGAGGAACCTCCATGTCGAGTCACTCGATCCATATTACTCATGTCTGATCAACACACAAACTAGCAAGACTAGATTCATTGATAGCGTGAGAAGCAAGACAAGGAGTAGCCTAACAAATCAGATCTGTTCTAAAGCAGCGGAACGCTTTCAGAACTTACCGATGCACACGACGAAAACACGCTGCATTGATGTGAACGGAGCGGACAGAACCTTAGCACACAGCTAGACAAGAAAACACCACCTTCTTAGCAAATCGCTAGAAAACCTTGGAACCCTAGAATCACTTCGTTAGAACGGCGACAGAAATCTTTGCACCTTCCTCTCCAAACTACTTTCGTTGCCCGATAGATCTGTAGAGAGGATGTTCCGGCCGTCTTTTGTGGTTCTGAGATCTAGGTCTGAAATCGCCCTCGGGATCGCCTAAAACCCTAGCCGCTCTCATTTTTGTTTTTTTTTAAGTTTTAAAATTAATTGATGTTGATAAGTTTATGTGTTTAATTGTTATTTAATGATATTATGGTTGTTTCTGTGATAAATTGTGTGTTTGTGTGGTTTAATCTGGTTTAGTTGAATTAATCTTATATATAATTAGGGAGTTGCTCTCTCCTCCTAAGCAATCCACATCAACATAATTTTATAGAGATAATGGATCCCACATTTAATCCAAAATTATAAAACAAAAGAAATGAAAATAATAAATGACAAACATTAAAACTAAAATTAGTCAATCAATGAATTAACATGTTTAAAATAATATATGAAATAACACAGATTTTATAAGAATTAAAAATTAATAAGAATAGAAAAGTTATAAGTTTATTTGTAACTGTATATAAAAAAATTAAAAAGGTTTATAATAGAGATAAAAAGATTCATGTCAGACGAAAAATGGCAAAAAGCACGACTCAAAAGGTGACTGAGGCGGTGGTTGAATGTAGTTAAGAGGCGGACATGGCTCAAGATGATGTTAATAAGAATTTTGACGAGTTTAGAAACTCAGAAGGTCGATGGTGACTAGAGGAAGTTCTAAGTTCACTAAACAACCGTTTTTGATACTAAAAATATAATAAATATTCATGCAAATACTAACAAATTCTAGAAATAGTTGCCAAATCTTTGGAAAAATTAGAAGACCATTTAAAACAAACATAACGGGAGTATCTATTACAGATCTTCAGTATTATACAGAAAAGATCATTTAAAATAAACATAACAAGAGTTTCTATTACAAATCGTGAGTATTATAGAGAATAACAAAAAACAATATAATATAATTTTAGAAATATATAAATGATGATTAACCGAAAAACAATCCCGCGCTTGCGCGGGGGTATAATCTCTAGTTGATTTAATTGGTTTATCTTGGTTTAGATTGATTTGATTCTAGTTAATTGGTGTAATTGAATTAAAATGTTTTCATTCAAATTGTTTGATTTATTTTCGGAATTAATTAGTTAATGGTTAATTTAATTAATTAATTGATTTAAAATAATTATTTTAATTATTTTAAAATATGAAAAATTATTTTTTAATTATAAGAATTATTTAATAATTGAAAATGGAGTTTAATTATTAATAATTATTTAATAATTGGAAAAATGTATTTAATAATTATTGGAGTTTATAAATATTATTAAATATCTAGTAAATTGCGTAAATGGCTCATAGGCATAGTGATTGCCTCACTAAGTATTTATTAAATACTTATGCAACTCCATTCCAATGTGTTGCAGGTAAAAGATTTGTGTGATCGCAGAATCAAGGCTGAAGAGGGGATGATAGGACGTTTATTGCTTTCATTTATTTTGCATTGTTTTGCTAGACTTGTTTAATTATTATTTGCTTCTGCTGAACTGATTTATTGAAAAGTTGAAGATCTACTTTTCTGCCAATGTGTCCCGGGAGTCCAGAGATTTGATCAGTGGAGAAAGCGGCATACAAGCGACTTGTGATTTGGGCAAATACCTTGGCATGCCGGTGCTACAAAAGAGATTGACCAAAGAAACGTTTGGGGATGTGCTAGCGCGAGTCTCGTCGAGAATGGTGGATTGGAAAGGGCGAGGCTTAAGTATGGCAGGGAGGCTCACACTCATGAAATCAATAGCCTCATCTATCCATGTTCACTCCATGAGCACTATCCTACTACCAAAATCCACTCTGGCCAAATTAGACTAATTGTTAAGATCTTTCTTATGGGGGAGCAGTGTAGAGAGTAAGAAGCAACATTTGGTTGCTTGGAAACGAGTGTGCGCTCCAAAACGAGACAGTGGCTTGGGAATACGAGCATCAAAGGATATGAATATGGCTATGATAGCAAATGTGGGCTGGAGATTATTGATGAAAGGATTTTATTGTGTGGTGGAATGAAATGTGATATGAGATGAGATGAATGCATGTGAAGTGGAATGTAGATGAGATGGTATGGTGTACAGATGCAATCACATTCAATCAATTCCTCTTTCTCATCATAGTCAATATAGTATAAGAGGTAATTAATCCAGATGAGTTTATTGTCACTCTATGAGAATATGCAAATACAAGAAAATCAAGCCAAATAGTAAAATGGATGGATGTAACAACTAAACAATCTAAAATGAAATGTAAATACAAGAAACAAGTAAATGCAAGGCAGCTCGACCAAGAGCTCGATCGAATAGAAACAGAGTAACTAAGCTCGATCGAGTTGAGGGTCGAGTTAGTGTAAAAACAGAGGAATGCAAATGTAAAACAATAAAGGTGCAAACTTTAAGATGCTAATGCGAATATTAGGGCTAAAGACAGGTTTTGCAGCTAGAGGGACGCTATACTTAATCAACCTTGCTCTAAACAATTTGTACTCAAGCTATCTCTTGGTATTGAACTTCTCAAGCCTAGCTAACCCTTTCCATGAAAGCTATCATCCAAGACAAGATCTCAGAAACAGGGGGTCAACTAGTGAGATCAAGCCTTGGAGCATTAGGATCATTGTTCAAATTCACCCATTCAACACCTATAAACCCTATTTTTAGTGAGGCAAGCATGTTGAAGCTCTTAGTGGACTTTTTCAAGCGATTTCCACTCATTCCCATGAGGAAAATCGCCTAGGCTCATACACACCAAGGATAGTGGTTGTGCAGCCTTAAGCTCAGCCCAAAAGAGAGAGATTTTAGATTAAGAACATAAAGCAAGAGAGATTAAGCATAAACAACCTCTAACCTATCCCATCTTAAACCCTAAAGAGAACTACTCACTACACATGGAGAAATACACAACTAAATGCAATGAATGAGACATTAAAAGATAGAGGAGGTAAAGATAAACAACTTTTATTGAAATAGAGAAGTGCAGAAATACAAAGATAAGGCCTAAATCTAAGGTTCAAGAGCAAGAGCTCAAGAACACAAAGAGAGGCTAAGGTTTTTAAAGGAAATGAAAATTACAAAATTCATTAAAAGCTTAAAACAAAAGAAAGGCTCAAGAGAGTTGTCTTTTTCTTGGCTACAAGCCTTCAAATAAGAAAAGTATTAGGTTTAGGGTCAAAGGAGGAGTCAAAGATGAGCAACATTTTTCGGCTTTGACTTTGACTCCTGGAAAAGCAGCTCGATCGAGTTGAGTCTAAGCCGGTTGAGCTGGCTTCAAACGGATTCTTTCTTCTCCTTGAGCATGCGCGGTCAAACTGAGCTCCAAGCACAATGTCCTTCCTTGCTCCTCACGTCTCAAGTGCTCCAAATAGACCTGTTTAAGGATAAAAAATGCACATGTATGCAAATGCAACCTAAAACTACAATGTATGCATAAGAAAGGAAAAGGAACAAGATATGATGCTAATGAATGCTTTATTGTTTCATTTAAATCTGAAAATCATAAAAAGTTTGTTTGAGTTTAGTTCCTTTTATTTCTGTGGTATCTTTGATTTGTTTGTTTAAGTCTTTGTAAGGTTAAACAGGAACTCAAGACATCATGGGTGATGAAAGAGATGAAGTGCCGCAGGATGCTATGATGCAGATGCTCACTGCCATGAGAGAAGAGATGAGGAACATGGGAGAGCAAGTAGGAACGTTGAGGACGGAGTTTGGAGTCCGTATTGGCCGCCTGGAGCAGCCAAGGCCAGCACCTGCTAGAGGAGTACCTCTACAGCTAGGTCAACTCACGGATGATGACATGCCGGAGCTGGAAAATGATCCGCCTGATCCTCTTCATCGACAGCATCGGAGGAGAGCAGACCCTCTACAGAGGAATCCAGCTCGTGAAGTAGAAGAAAGGGGACAGAACCATGATATTAAGCTAACCCCTCCTACTTTTGCAGGAAAGTCCAATCCGGAGGTATACATGGATTGGGAAATACGTCTTGAGCACATCTTTGAGTGCTATGGTTACAATGAGCACAAGAAGGTGGCTGTAGCAGCAGCTCAGCTCAAAGACAATGCGTTCGCATGGTGGGACAGAAACGTAGCTGAGAGGAGAAGGCAACGTTTTGGACCAGTAGCCACTTGGAGCGACATGAAGTTCCTCCTGAGGTTAAGGTATGTGCCTGAGCATTATCATAGAGACTTACAGAAACGTTTCGTAAGTTGTCTCAGGGAACAAGGAGTGTTGATGAGTACTTTGAGGAGTTTGAGAAGCTGATGAACTCACTGGAGCTAGAGGAGTCCAAGGAGGCTTTAATGGCGCAGTTCATAGATGGCTTGCAAGAGAGAATTGCCTGGAAGGTGGAGAGAGCTCAATACAGCGGATTACATGAGTTACTACACCTCTCTGTTCAGGTTGAGCAGCAGATCAAGCGCAAGACGTCTCTCAACCAAAGGAACAGAACGTCTCAGCCTTGGACCTCAAGTAGTTCCAAACCTGTAGACAAAGGCAAGGCAGTGGAGATTGATTCTCGTTTCAAAGGAAAAGGCAATGAGAACTCCAAGTTCACTCGACCAGAGCAAGGTAAATCGTCAATTAATGATTCTAGAACTCGTGACATTGTTTACTTTAAGTGTCAAGGCAGGGGACATATGTCAAGGGACTGCCCAAACCGACGAGTGATGATCATTACCTCAACCGGAGACTATGAGTCAGAAGAAGAGCAAGAGGATGAGCAGAGTTTCCTAGACGATGAGGTTGAGTACTCGGATAAAGGAGAGCTTCTGGTGACCAGAAGAGTCCTTAGTGTACTTGTCAACCCCGCAGAAAAAGCTCAAAGGGAGAATCTCTTCCACACTCGTTGTACCATCAACGGCAAGGTATGCAATCTTGTGATTGATGGAGGTTCTTGCACTAATGTAGCTAGCGAGTTTTTGGTAGACAGGTTAGGTCTTGAGAAGACTAAGCACCCCAAACTGTATCCCTTGCAATGGCTAAATGAGGAAGTTGAGATGAAGGTCAGAGAACAAGTGGTGGTGCCGTTCAGTGTGGGAAGATATCAAGATCAAGTCACTTGTGACATCTTGCCCATGCACGCTGGACATCTTCTTCTTGGTAGACCTTGGCAGTTTGATCGAGCCACCATCCATAATGGTCGAACAAACTACTACTCTTTTGTGCACAATGACCGTAAGTACAATCTTGCACCTCTCAGCCCAACCGAGGTACATGAACTTTATGTGCATATGAATAAAGAGGTTAAGAAGAGTAAAACTAGTCTTTATTTATCTTCTAGTCAGGTATGTAAGACCCTTGGTGCCAAGGGCACCGTGCTACTGATGTTCTTTAAAGAGTGTTTGAGCGCAGGATTAGGTGCTCTGGAGGTTCCTGATCAAGTGAAATCCGTCCTGGACAAGTTTCAAGATGTGTTTCCTGAGGAGATGCCCCCTGGCTTACCACCAATCCGAGATATTGAGCATCAGATTGACCTCGTCCCTGGCTCTGCCTTACCCAACAAGGCCGCTTACCGAATGAATCCATAGGAGTCTAAGGAGCTGGAGAGGCAAGTGAGAGAGCTGATGGAAAAGGGCTATATCCGGAAGATTTTAAGTCCTTGTGCTGTGACTGTGCTCTTAGTTCCCAAGAAAGATGGGACATGGAGAATGTGTGTGGACTGCCGAGCCATAAACAACATCACCATCAAGTATAGGCACCCCATACATCGTCTTGACGACATGCTTGACGAGCTAAGTGGTTCTACTCTCTTTTGTAAAGTTGATTTGAAGAGTGGCTACCATCAGGTCCGAATGCGTGAAGGAGATGAGTGGAAAACCGCATTCAAAACCAACAAGGTTTGTATGAGTGGCTAGTCATGCCTTTTGGCTTGACCAACGCGCCAAGTACATTCATGCGCCTCATGAACCAGGTTCTTCGTGCTTACATAAGTAAATTTGTTGTTGTTTACTTTGATGACATACTTATATACAGTAAGAACCTTAATGATCACCTCAAGCATCTTGAACTAGTGCTCAAATCACTTCGCAAGGAAGGCCTATATGCTAACCTTAAGAAGTGCACCTTCTGTACTAATGAGCTTGTTTTCTTAGGCTTTGTAGTGAGTGAACAGGGGCTAAGAGTAGATGAGGAGAAGATCAAGGCTCTCAAGGAGTGGCCTACCCCAACTACAATTGGTCATGTGAGAAGCTTTCACGGATTGGCAAGCTTCTATAGGACGTTTGTGAGAGACTTTAGCACTGTAGCTGCACCACTCACTGCCGTGATCAAGAAGAACGTACCTTTCTCTTGGGGATCAGCTCAAGAAGCCGCCTTCAAGATACTTAAGGAGCGGTTAACAGAAGCACCGGTTCTTGCCTTGCCAGATTTCGATGAGATGTTTAAAGTGGAGTGTGATGCTTTTGGTTTGGGTATAGGAGCTATCCTACATCAGAGAAAACGACCAGTGGCGTTTTTCAGTGAGAAGTTAAGTGGAGCTACGCTCAACTACCCCCACTTATGACAAGTTGTCGTATGCCTTGGTCCGAGCCTTGGAGACATGGCAACACTACCTTCGGTCTAAGGAGTTCATCATTCACACTGATCATGAAACTCTGAAGCACTTGAGAGGCCAGACGTCGCTCAAGAGGAGGCATGCTAAGTGGCTGGAGTTCATTGAGACCTTCCCTTATGTGATCAAGTACAAGAAGGGAAAGGAGAACGTTGTAGCTGATGCCTTATCCAGGAGACATGTGCTGATTGCTACCATGGAGGCTAAGGTGCTCGGGTTTGAGCACATCAAGGAGCTATACAAGGAGGATCCGGAGCTTGGAGAAGCTTACCAGGCGTGTACAAAGGGAGCATTTGGTCCTTTTTACTTACATGATGGTTTTCTTTTCAGGGATAAGCGCTTGTGCATTCCTCAAGGCTAAATGAGGGAGCTTATACTGAAAGAAGCTCACGGAGGTGGCCTCATGGGACACTTTGGCGTGGACAAGACACTTGCAGTGGTGGTTGATCACTTCTATTGGCCACACCTCAAGAAGGTCCGAGCCTTGGAGACATGGCAACACTACCTTCGGTCTAAGGAGTTCATCATTCACACTGATCATGAAACTCTGAAGCACTTGAGAGGCCAGACGTCGCTCAAGAGGAGGCATGCTAAGTGGCTGGAGTTCATTGAGACCTTCCCTTATGTGATCAAGTACAAGAAGGGAAAGGAGAACGTTGTAGCTGATGCCTTATCCAGGAGACATGTGCTGATTGCTACCATGGAGGCTAAGGTGCTCGGGTTTGAGCACATCAAGGAGCTATACAAGGAGGATCCGGAGCTTGGAGAAGCTTACCAGGCGTGTACAAAGGGAGCATTTGGTCCTTTTTACTTACATGATGGTTTTCTTTTCAGGGATAAGCGCTTGTGCATTCCTCAAGGCTCAATGAGGGAGCTTATACTGAAAGAAGCTCACGGAGGTGGCCTCATGGGACACTTTGGCGTGGACAAGACACTTGCAGTGGTGGTTGATCACTTCTATTGGCCACACCTCAAGAAGGATGTGGAGAGACATTGCTCTCGCTGTGTTGTTTGCCATAAAGCCAAGTCCAGCTTACATCCTCATGGTCTTTACTTACCCATGCCTATTCCTAACGCACCTTGGGTGGATATTTCTATGGATTTCGTGTTAGCTTTGCCTAAGATCAGAAACAAAGACTCGATCTTTGTTGTTGTGGATCGCTTTTCCAAGATGGCTCACTTCATACCATGTGATAAGCAAACGATGCTACTCAAACTGCTGATCTGTTCTTCAAGGAAGTCGTGCGTTTACATGGAGTGCCAAGGACTATTGTCTCTGATCGAGATACTAAGTTCTTAAGTCATTTCTGGAGAACCTTGTGGAGAAAGCTTGACACCAAGCTTCTGTTTTCCACAACCTGTCATCCTCAAACGGATGGACAGACCGAACTGGTAAACCGTACTCTCTCTACTCTCTTAAGAGTTACACTTGGTCGTAATTTGAAAACATGGTTGGATTGCTTGCCTTTCATTGAATTTGCTTATAACCATGCTACTCATTCTGCCACTAAGATGTCGCCATTTGAGATTGTTTATGGTTTTAATCCACTAACCCCTCTTTATCTCTCGCCGATTCCACAAGTTGAGCAAGTTAATTTAGATGGTCTCAGGAAAGGAGAGTTTATTAAGAAACTGCATGAGAAGGTCCGAGAGAACATCCTCAAGAAGACTGAGAGCTACAAGAAATATGCTGACAAGGGACGCAAGGAGCCCGTGTTTGAACCAGGAGAATGGGTTTGGCTACACCTCAGACCAGAGAGGTTCCCAGATAAGAGGAGTTCAAAGCTTGCGCCTAGAGGAGATGGCCCATTCAAAGTCCTAGAGAAGATCAATGACAATGCTTACCGCCAGGAGCTTCCTGGTGAGTTTAATGTGTCACATAGTTTTAATGTTACTGATCTATCTCCTTATGAAGATGCAGATGAACCTGTTTTGAGGTCAAAACCTCTTGAAGAGGGAGGGAATGATGAGGACATCGACCCAACTAAGGTCATAGAGAACATACTGGTGGTCAAGGACTCACCCATGACGCGTTCCAAGACCAGGAGACTTCGAGAAGGATTCAATGAAGCTGTTGAGACCCTCCTCAACACCATGAACCTTGGAGATTTTCTCAATACCCCGCCGCCTGACGACAGCTGCTTGAGCAACGACGTTAACCCCTTGAGCAACACCATTGCCCCGGAACTAGCCTTAATGGAGGACTTTGCACGCATGAGCCTAGAGGAGGATCACCCTCATTCAAAGCACTGTAAGTCTATTTACTTGGCAGGTAATGGAGTTCAGAACAAGTCGGAGCTTGAGGACATGATCAAGACCCGCAATGTAGCAGACAAGGAGCTTAAGGAACATGAAGACGTTTTGGGAGCTACTGAAGAGGAAACACTTGAAGATCTTCACCAAGTCAACTCTCAAGGCACTGAAGAGGAAGACTTCATCATTGGACCAGCAAGGAGTGGACCCGGACCAGACAAGCTCTACTCAACACCACCTCAGCTCAACTCGCGCCAAAAGCAGGTATATTCAATTTATACAATTTGTGCAGGTAAGGGCGAGTATCCCAGTGGTTCTTAGGCTCAGAGACAACTCCAGTTCGAGCCCAGAAGAAGCCACACGAGTTTGGTTTAGTTTGGTTTAGTTTAAGTGTTATTTCCTTTTCTTGTATTTTTATTTATTTTTGCTTTTTGTTTCTGTTCAAGAGAGCGTGATGTGCTTTCTTTCCTTATTTGAATTTCGGCCCTAGGGCTAGCTGAAGAGCTGTTTATAAAGCTCCCCTGCAGCTTTGTATTTTTGGTTACCTTTGATTATTAATAAAATACCGTATTTCTTCTTTGCTCAAGCCGCCGCTTGCTTAGAACCCTAGCTTGTTCTCTTGTGTGTGTGATTCACCAAGGACGAGTTTGTTGTATCAGAGATCCTTCCATCATCTCTGTGGTGCCATCGATCCACCTTCGACATCCCCTTTTCGTTCATACAAGAGAGAGCGTGATAGCCAGCTTGTTGAACACCGCCTCGATTCAAGTCTTGTGGAATCAAGCCTTGTCTTACCATCCTCATCCACAGATCTAAAGGAGAGAGCGTTAAAGCCAGCCTTCAGATCCCATCAATCCATCACGTGCCATCAGATCTAAGCCTCACCACCGAGTCTTACATCAGAACCCTGGTCTCGCTGCAGCAAGAGGAGTGATACGAAATCAATATGGTGAATGGTGTGGTGGATTTTGTCTGAATATAGGCAGGTGCATGGCACCGTTGGCGGAGCTTTGGGGAGTCTACTATGGACTATACATTGCATTGGATAAGAAGATACAAAAGTTGGAGGTTGAAGTAAATTCAGAATTGGTGGTGGGTTTTCTTATGACAGGGATTGGCGACGCGCATCCGCTGTCTTTCCTGGTACATATGTGCCATGGCTTACTAGCAAAGGACTGGTTAGTCCGTATCTCTCACGTGCATAGGGAGGCTAATTGTCTAGTTCGCGGATTAGCTAACTATGCTTTCACTCTTCCATTGGGTTTTCATGGTTTTTCTTTGGTTCCTTCTAGACAGTTTGCTGCAAGATGATGTAACTGAATCTTCGCGTCCAAGAAACGTTTGTATTACTTATGTTTTCTTCTTAATAATAAATGTGGGAGATCTCGTCTCCCATACCACTTACGGAAAAAAAGTAACAACACTTGATGTTTCAAAGTCGGGGGATGCGATGTTAAGAAACTCTTTTGTTCCCACTTGGTTTGGTAGGAAATTGGAAGAAAAGTTTTGTGGCTTTAATCCGTGAGAAAGTTTTGACCAGTTTTCTACCACTTTTATTTTTCGTATTTTAGCCATATTTTCTTGTACTGCAAAGACCATACCATACATCTAACTAGATCCGAGTAACCAGGTGCTTCAATTTTAGGGCCTAACTGGTGTTTGTATAATTGTGGAATTGTGCTGAATTGTGCTGAATTGTTACCGTCACGTTTGCTGAATTAGCAAAATGACAAAACTTGCTGAATTAGCAAAATGACAAAACTTGCTGAAAGACTAATAAACAAACAAATAAACAACTTCTACTGTTCTCTTTTTATCTAGATAAGAAATTGAACATTTCAATGGTCATAATTGGTAAAAAACAAATCAAAATACAACAAAAAAAGGTTCACGAATACATTTTAAGTTCAGCTATAAAAGACGCATGACATTCTCCATTTGATAAATCATTAGGGAGAAGTTGGTTGTTATTCATAAATGTAGAAGAGAAGGTTTCAAATAGTCACAAAAAAAGTAAGTTACGTTCAAAGCATTTTCCATAACTCGTAGTATCTATACAATAATTTTTCAGTTATATTTTTCAAAAACTAAATTATATTTTCATATTAATGTATAAAACATTTGCAGTTAACTATATTCTTAAAATAAAATTATATAGTTAGTTTGTACAAAGTTTTGCAGAATTTTGAAAACTATATCCTATTTTATTTAAATATTATTTAGTTATTTTATAAATATATGCTTTATTTATTTAATTGGGTAATTATTATGTGATTTTGTTATATAAATAATTTATTATATATATATATATATATATTAATTCTGCACTCAGCAACATTCAGCTGTTACCATTCATACTACAAACTAATCAGTCAGATTCTGCAACTATTCATCAATTAATTCAGTCAGATTCCGCATTCAGCAACATTCAGCGTTTACCATTTAGACCCTCAGCAACCACATCAACGAAATGAAAAAAAATAATTACTTTGGTCTCTTTTATCCGTGCAATTTACTTAGTGAGGAAAATATCCCACACCAAAAATTGGAAGGGACATACGGAAGATTGATCAATCCACTCATTGCTCATTGCTTTCTAGTTGCAAGCCTATGAAATTTAATATGGTATCTAAACCCAAACATATAATCATGTTATCCTATCTATAAGTGGCTCGATAGCCCAAATCCAAAGTTGATGGTTTGTTGAGATTAATGGTTAGAAGAACTGAAGTAAATGAAAATTACAGAAAATAGATCAAAATGACTTTGGAAAGTTAAGAAATAACTAGAATAACCCTTTATTCTTCAAAGGGGTAAAAAGACTTCTAAAGTTTTCAAGAAACCTTATATTACAAAACTGTCACTCCATTTTCCCAAACCAGAACCAAAACCAAACCAATTTATTAAACCGAAATCAATACCAAAAAAAAATCTAAACCAAAAATTAAACTTAACCAAAACATAAACCAAAAATTTAACTTAACCTAATTTTGCAATTAAAAATTAACACTTAAAATTATAAACAAAAAAATAAAGAAAAACAAAAAACTAAAATTACTTAATATTAAAAAGTTAAAATTAAAAACAAAAAACTAAAAATTAAAATTATTAAAAATATAAATTAAATTTTAAAAAAAATTTAAAATTAAAAACTAAGAATTAAAAACTAAAACTTAAAAACTAAAAATTTAGTATTAAAAAGGAAAAATATTAAAATAAAAATTTAAAACTTAACATTATAAATTATAAGTTAGAAATTTAAAACTAAAATTTAAAATTTTAAAATTAAAAATCAAAAATAAATATTAAAATTAAAAACTAAAAAATAAATAAAAATTAGTAATTAATATTTAATATTCATTAAATAATTAATAATTAATAAAAATAAATAACAAATAATATTTTTGAAAACTGTTACCCAAAAACAATTTTATTAATTTTAAAATTTTACCCAAAATTAATAATTAACTCTAATATTATTGTACTATAGAAACAAAAGTGTACGACCATTGCAATTGTTTTAAATAAATCTTCGTTCAGTAAATTAAGTCTACAATCATTACATTTAAGTTTACGTCTGTTGTAATATACAAATAAAAGTCTACAATCATTACAATTGTTATAAATAAGTCTACCGCAACAAAGGATAAATATACCGTGCATCAATAAATCTACAATCAAACAAAATAAATCTACCATAACATAAAGGGAAGTTAGTTTGGTTCTTAAGTCTACAGTCAAATTAACAACTCTACAAAATAATGTATAAATCTACAGTAATGCAAAATAAATCTACCGTAACATAAACATATGTCATTGCTTTCTTCAAATCTACGGCCAAAACAAATAAGTCTACAAAAAAAATATAAATCTACGGCTACACAACAATAAATCTACAAAGTTTTTAATAAATCTACAAAATGCCATTTCGAATTTGACATTTTTGACAAGTCTACTGCTATATGAATTAAGTCTACAAACATAAATCTACAACGATAGAAATAACTCTACAAGAACAAAAATAAATTTACAAACTTAATTAAGTCTACCGCAAATAAAAATAAATCTACAAACAAAAGTCTACAAATCAGAAGATAAATCTATAAAACGTTATAAATCTACAAATCAAAAAATTAGTCTACAATTTTCATAATAACTCTACGGTTATGTTTGTAGATTTATTCTTGTAGACTTATTTTGGAAAACGTCTTTTGTAGACTTATTATCCCAGTTTATTAATGGCATTTTCTTAAATACGTTTTTTGTCACCAAAGAAATAAGGGTAAAGTCGGAAAAAAAATGTTGTTTAAGCCACTTGAATTTACAAGGGTTATTGTAGTTATTAACTAACTTTTCAAGGTCATATTCATCAACTTCCTTGAAAATTAGTACAAAACTAGGCAGAGTAAAAGAAGATGTTAAACACCATTTTGGGCTATAAAACCAAGAGAATGAGTTGAGAGCAAGGGGTTGAATCCTAATTCCACAATCTACACTACACATTCAACTTTACCCCTTATCTGTACTTTTTTTTTCCCCTCTATTCTTGCTTTTTTAAACGCTCTCAGTTGTCATTTAGCCCCAGTTTTCCCCGCTCTTACTAAAGCCATCCATACATATTTATTTATTCATGATTACTTTAGTGCCTATGCATTTCATTAGCATCTTCGTATCTCGGATCGGATGGAGTTTCATGAACCCTAGTTAAAGACCAGAAATCAACAATGTACAACTGTCGCGGTCTAGAAACTAGGGATCTATATAACCTTGTTTGGTAGAGACTATCCACTGTGTCTCCGTATGGTAGCTATTGCGATAGTAGTTTAATTAGAAATGACATTGAACTTAAAATTTCTAAAATATATATTTGAGAAAATTGCTAAGTAAATTATTCAAAAGAAAACAAAAAAATCAGCCGATTGCCAAAAATATTAAAATCTTTTTTCAGTATATAAAAATTGGCATCAAGGCTATAGTATACTTTAGAAATTAGTGTTGCATATTAGGGGAAGAGTTCTTGTGTTTGGAGAGACGACAAAGACAAATATTTGTTTAGGTACGTAAAAACAAGCTTTTTCCCTCTAATGGATCCAAAGACATTATTTAGCTTTTTTTTTGTGTGTTAACGAGTTTTTTGTGAAATCACAACAAGAAGATTCGAATCCTCGTCCAGACCCACATGATGATAACCATGCACCACCATAAGATGGTTCCTTGTTTAGCCTCATTAAACTGTGAAATGCGGAAATATACAAAACTAAGGCTTACGTGACAATGCATAACTATGAATGATTATAGAAAAGCAAGAATATTGATAGCTTTTTTATAAAAAAAAATCCATCATTGAATGGCCTCATTTTAATGGCCTCATTGAATGGCCTCACAGACAAAACAAGCGGGTCCGAGTCTTTTGTAGCTCAGTGTCCCACATTCGTACGGACGACTTGGTTCGTTTAAAGACTCACGGACGACTTAGCTCCTCAAAATCTGAGATATTTCATATCTGTGGTGGAGCTGGCCTAATTTTTTTTACTTTTATCTCCAATGGTAGGAGATGATATAAACAACCACAACAACTATTCTCGTTAACATCATTCACTTAATTCTAAGGGGAGTGGCCGGAGAAGAGCGAAGACGCAGATGGAGCCTTCAAGGCAAGACCGCACTTGTCACCGGTGGAACCAAAGGCACTGGGTTTGTAAAAAATCCTCTCATTCCAATAAATCTTGAAAAGTACTTGTTACTAGACTCTTTTGAATCTATGTTCTTGATTCTTGGAACTATTAGGCATGCTATAGTGGAAGAACTAGCAGGCTTTGGGGTGATAGTACATACGTGTGCTCGAGACGAATCTCAGCTCAATGAGTGTTTAAGTGAATGGAAAAAGAAAGGGTTTCAAGTCACTGGTTCAGTTTGTGATGCATCGTCCGCGACTGAGAGAGAGAAGCTCATGCAAACTGTGTCCTCGTTGTTCAATGCCAAGCTCAGTATCCTCGTAATTAAAATTCAGCCTTATATTATTTGTTTTGAATGATTCATGTATGATGCATCGATTTGTATATTCTTTGATATTAGATAAACAATGTTGACACATACGGCAGAAGATTTCTCGTTCCACGTTTCGACCAACTTGGAGTCTGCCTATCATTTTAGCCAGCTTGCACATCCTATGCTCAAGGCTACAGGATGTGGGAACATTGTGTTTATATCCTCTGTTGCTGCGGTCGTGTCATTTAGCGTCAGCTCCATCTATTGTGCCACAAAAGGTATATTACTTTTTTTCGTCAAAAAACCACTTCTCTACTATGAATCTTGTTTGTACAGCTCATCATTAGTGAAAGATAGTACCAAGCTACATTAACAAGATGATGCTGTTGTAACTATATATATATACATATGATTTGCTAAACTACACTAATTTAAGTGATTTATAAAACTCTTGAGTTGATTTAAACCAGTTATTACATTTATTAAAAACATTATTTATTTGTAAATATTATATTAACTTAACCAAAAAATAAGTATTTGTTTTAATTTTCAGCGATGCCACTAAACATAATTTGTTTCCCAAAAGTACCACAAAAATATTAATAAACTTTAATTCTTCAAAACAAAACTATAAACCCTAAGACCTTAAAACATATATGTACAATCAAGGCCTTAACACATGCTAATGTTTTCATGATGAATTCTGAAAAAATTAAATCAGTTAATAAAAATTAAATAAACATAAATGTATAATCAAGGTCTTAACACATGGTACTGTGTTCATATACATAGGGGCGATGAATCAGCTAGCAATGAATTTAGCATGCGAGTGGGCGATTGACAACATAAGGGCTAATGCTGTGGCTCCTGGACTAATTGCCACTCAAGCTGAAGCTGTAATATCCTATGCTATTCCAAGAATTGTTCTCTCTTTGTTTTGATGATATCTTGACTATCTATGCCTGCATGTGATTATCATCTCCAGGCGATTGACGATGGATTTAAGAAGGGGATGATTTCAGGAAAGCCCTTAGGGCGGTTAGGGAGACAGGAGGAGGTAGCATCGCTGGTGGCATTTCTTTGTATGCCTGCAGCTTCTTATATTACTGGTCAGACCATTAGCGTCGATGGAGGTATCACTATTAACGGCTTCTCGTATCAGCCACATGCTTAAACGAAATCACCAAATAAAACATATGAAAAATTTCAAATTCAGTAATAAGTTTAAATGTTTTTAGAGACTTTACTTTGAAGCCTACTGTTTGGGCAAAATTTAATCGGTTCACAAGTACAATAAACAGAATGACGGAGGAGAAGATTTCTTATTAATCAATCGAGTATCAAGCTACAAGAAGTCAATATCAAAGATTAAACTAAGAGAATCTTGTATGTTGTTCATTGTAGATCGTAGGTCGTTGTAGCTAGGTTGTTCGTCGATACTTATCCAGGGGCGAAGTACTCTTAGGATTTTCTGTGTTGATTGCTTGTCTTTTGTCAACCTAGGTCGCTCGTCGTAGATAGACCCTTGTAGGTGGATCGTCGTAGGTAGATATAGAACCAAGCTTTGTCGAAGTATGGTCAGTCGTCCTAGGTCGATTGTCGTTTGGTACCTTTAGTACAATCGACGATCTCTGCTTGTAGGTAACTCCTCTTAGGTCACTCTTCGTAGATCGACCCTCATAGGTTTCTTGTCATCGATAGACCCTCGTAGTTGTTCAATGTAGCTCGACCTTTTTAGGTTATTCGCCGAAGGTCGATATAAAACCAAGCTCTGTTGATGTACGATTACATGTAGTCGACTATTGTAGCTAATTTCTCTATCGCTACTGTTAGGAGGCGATGAGAATATAGCTATTAGGGATTTCTTTGTCGTCTGTCGATCGACTTAGGTTGGCTGTCATTGGTCGATCATCGCTTGATACCTTTAGCACCATCGATGATCTTTGTCAATGCCTATATGGATTGAAGATGATCTTACTGGTGTTTTGTAGCAAGGGGATGGCCTCGTCAATGCTTTGAGGTATTGATGTAGATCTCGTCAATGCTCTTTGGCAACGACGAGATAAGGTCTCTGCTTCTTCCTAGATTATATGGCTCTACCTTTGAAGAGCGGCGAGAGTATAACCCTTAGGGTTCTTAAGAATCTCATCTCTTCTTATCCTTGTTGAAGGATCTCTTATTTATAGATGTTCGTTAATCCTAACCCTTACTGGGTTGGGCTTAGACGTCGGTAGTAACTTCATATTAGGAGGTACGTCGGTGTAGTTTCCTTCTAAGAATACGTCTGTCACTCATCATAATTTTCTTTTAGGAGATACATTGGCCTTTGTACAATTCCTAGCCCAATAGTGAATATCATCGGTCGTACCTTGTTATAAAGGTATGTCGATGCTTAAGGCCTTTAAGGCAAATGAAGGTAAGTCTGACCGGTTGCCATGGTCGTCAGTCGGTCATATCTCCAGCTTAAGTTTAACGAGCGACCGGTTAATGAATTTATTTCACCCAACAATTTGCCCCCTACTCTATATTTTCTTATTAAGAATTTATAGAGTAATATTTCTTTTCAAACACAGTCGTCGCTTGCTCAAGAATGTCACTTATGGCTGTCGATTTTTTACTATGGTCGATACTTCATTTTTTGAAGTTGATGCTTCAACATGTCCCTCGTAAGGTCTATCTCCAATATCAAAAATATATCTTGATTGGATGGTCCTCTTTTACCTGTCACTCTCAAAGATATGACTGTTTTCATGCCCACATGTGACTGATTAATAATGGAGGTGGAGAACCATCTTTCTCCAATGATCAATGACCAATTTCTAATCTTGGAGCATGTACGTCCTTCCTCCTTTTCCACGTCGGTCCTGAGAAAGTCACTCGACCATTCATGTGGCTTTTATGTTTGCTTGTGCCTTCTTCTTTTTTCTCTTAAATTGTCGAGCTCCATTTACTCTAATCTCAAATCTCAAATAAAGAGTATTTTTCAAGTTGGCAGCCGCTGATCAATAATGTCACTTGTGACTGTCGGTACTTTCCTATTGTAAATGCTATTTACTTCTTTTGTATGTCGCTCCTTTGTCCCCTTTTGTCGTTTCCTTTCTCTTTATTTGAAGTTATTACTCTTTTTCCTTTGATGTAGCTCCCTCTTTGCTGTAGTTGGTCTTGGTCTTGTAGAAGATAATAAAAACTAGCAAGGACAAACACATTTTATATGTTCGTCTATGGTTGACCACTTGGGTTGACTACATAAGTCCCACCCGTAGTGCGCAAGCACAAACACATATAACTGAAAGTCGAACCATTAGCATGAAAGGAAGCTTATTACTTTCTTTCTATTGGTCTCATGAGATTAACAAATTTGTATGCATGTACCTCATCTATTGATGAGCATCGATGAATTTAGAACTTGCTTCTCAATAGATAAGAAGCTGTTAGGCTGTGAGGGTTATACCCCTTAGTTTATTGTCATATTTTCACCATGACGTACCTCTTGATTTTGTAGATGTTGTCACAGATTAAGGACGTACCTCTTCATTAGTTAGCTAATGATTTAGGATCATAACATTTGGAGGTCGTGCTCCTTTCTTAATTAAAGAGCGACGTGGCATCGCAATCTATGGAGGTCATACCTCTATCTTATCTATTGAGTACGTACCTCTTTGTTTATCATATCATGTTATCATGGTGAGGTTGTGCCTCTTAATTGATTTAGTAGCGACTGTCGTCACTGTATATTGAGGGCATACTTCTTTATATGTTTACTTATGATTTGCTGTCATAGCATGTGGAGGTCGTACCTCTAAATTAGTTATCAGCGACTGTCGTCACTCTCGATATATATTGAGTACATGACTCCTATCTTCCTAGTGACCATGGTCAATTTGCTTATGAGGCATTGCCTCTAGTTTTTTTTTTTTTAAGAAACATCGAGCGTCATTGTTGCTTAATGCCAATTTTTTACTGTCGTTCGTCATTAGCTATGCTATGACTGTCGTCAAAAGTTTGTAAGGCTATGCTAATTGGTGAGTAGTGACCATAGTCACTACTTTCTGAGGTCCTGCCTCACGACTTATTCAAGTGATGATGATGCACAATCCAACGAGGTTGTGCTCCTTGGTTGATGTAGTGTTTACCTTGGTCACAAGGTTTGGAGGCAGTACCTTATGATTGTTATTCTCTTTTTTAATAGCAGTTAAAGGACGTACCTTTAGTAGCTTATATTTGCTAATGTCAACATCAAGTTGTTAGTCTTATTGACTAACATGGTTGACTACTTGAACTTGTTTAGCATTATGAGGGACATACATTCCTAATATAATCTATCCGAGAGCGCTTATAACACATTCTACATGTTGGAAAACTATGTTTCTTAAATTGTAAATAATCAATAGGGAACTTACCTTGTAGTTCTATTGCAGGTCCTTTTTTACGTCCCTCTTTCATTTATGAAGTTGCACTCGTGCTGCTGAACGGTCTTTGTCAGTAGTAGTGACAACTTTAAGAAGTCATTGAATGAAGGTCTGTTTCTGCTTAAGTATTGTATTTCAACTACTCCTCCGTAGCATGAATACATTATCCAGTGCCACTGTCACTCCTCTGCCCCCAGTGGTTGAGGTTTTTTTTTTGTAATGCATCTGTGTGAAGTTTATTGTGCACGTCGATGAACCTTCACTTCTTTACTTCGTTGTTTTCTTGATAATCCTTCCAATTTAGCATCAACTTCATGTAGAACGTTATCTCATGGAGTTATGTCGTTGTTCTCTCCTCCTCTGGTCATGTCTCACGTAGTTAAAATTGCCCCTCCTTCTAGCGCCAAACTGTTTGGGCAAAATTTAACCAGTTCGCAAGTACAATAAACGGAATGACGGATGAGAAGATTTCTTATTAATCAATCGAGTATCGAGCTACAATAAGTCAATATCAAAGATTAAACTAAGTGAATCTCGTATGTTGTTCATTGTAGATCATAGGCCGTTGTAGCTAGGTTGTTCGTCGCTACTTGTCGAGGGGCGAAGAGTAAGTACTCTTAGGATTTTCTGTGTTGATTGCTTGTCTTTGGTCAACCTAGGTCGCTCGTCGTAGATAGACTCTTGTAGGTGGATCGTCGTAGGTGGATATAGAACCAAGCTTTGTCGAGGTATGGTCAGTCGTCCTAGGTCGATTGTCGTTTGGTACCTTTAGTACAATCGACGATCTCTGCTTGTAGGTAACTCCTCTTAGGTCACTCTTCATAGATCGACCCTCATAGGTTTCTTGTCATCAATAGACCCTCGTAGTTGTTCAACGTAGCTCGACCTTTTTAGGTTATTAGTCAAAGGTCGATATAAAACCAAGCTCTATTGATGTATGATTACATGTAGTCGACTGTCGTAGCTAATTTCTCTATCGCTACTGTTAGGAGGCGATGAGAATATAGCTATTAGGGATTTCTTTGTCGTCTGTCGATCGACTTAGGTTGGCTGTCATTGGTCGATCATCGCTTGATACCTTTAGCACCATCGATGATCTTTGTCAATGCCTATATGGATTGAAGATGATCTTACTTGTGTTTTGTAGCATGGTAATGGTGAAACAACCAACACTTTTTTTTTTTAAAATAAATACTAATCAATTCTAGCGGAAGTCTTTAAAATAAATAAATTAAATAAATAAATATCAATAACAAATAAATCAGTTCAGTGGAAGCAAATTAATTAAACAAGTCTAGCAAAAAATGCAAAATAATAAAACATAAACATCCTATCATCCCCCTCTTCAGCCTTGATTCCGCGATCACACAAATCTTTTACCTGCAACACATTGGAATGGAGTTGCATAAGTATTTAATAAATACTTAGTGAGGCAATCACTCTGCCTACAGGCCATTTACGCAATTTACTAGATATTTAATAATATTATAAACTCCAATAATTATTAAATACCATTTTCCAATTATTAAATAATTATTAATAATTAAAACTTCATTTCTCAATTATTAAATAATTCTCATAATTAAATAATAATTTTCCATATTTTAAAATAATTAATTATTTTAAGCCATTTAATTAATTAAAATACTCATTAATTAATTAAATACGAATTAACCAATAACCAGATAACCAGATTTAACCAATTAAATTAAATCAATTTAAACCAATTTTAAATTCAATTGAACCGACCGAACCGGTCAGTGTCGTGACACCAGCCACTTGTGTCGACCGACACCAAACTTGGTGTCGACCGACACTAGTTCCAGAGACCGATTCTTCCTTCAACAAAACAGCACGAAACACAAAAACACCAAATCCACACGAATTACACCCAAACAACACTAGATAACACATAATCAACATGAACAACTCAAGAACAATTAATCAATCAAACCAAATCTAGCAATTGCGGACCTACAGTCATGCACTCACCTCAAATCGGATTGAAAACAAGAAAGGATGAAACAAGCAAGAACAGCAACAAGGAGCCTCAGATCGACGAAGAACTCCGGATTTCAGCTCGGAGTCCGCAAAACGACAAAAGAGAGGAAGAAAGGAAGCGGCTGCAGCTTTTTATTTCGAGTTCTAGGGCTTCCTGGGCCCAAACCGGGCTAAACCGAACTTAAATTGAACCAGAAATTGATTTTAACCATTGGTGTCGACCGACACCACCCTGGTGTCGACCGACACCAAGAAAAATCACAATTCTTTGGTCTACGGATGTTACAACTCTCCCCCACTAAACTGGATTCGACCTCGAATCCCAACACAAACGTCACAAAGACCACAAAAACCCGACCTCGCAAGGCCGCAACACTGGAGATCCTCACCTGATCCCCGAGACATACGTCAAATCCTATGTCATAAGCACATTCCAAGAAAATTTCACTCCTAACTCATCATCCAAACACACAAAACAACTTGTACTGAGGCCCACTTGCACCCAGACAAGTCCACACCGGTCCGCACTGAGGCCCACTTGCACCCAGACGAACCCGAAAACGTCCATACTGAGGCCCACTTGCACCCAGATGAACTAAACTGCTTATACTGAGGCCTACTTGCACCCAGATAAGCTACACTCAACTGAGGCCTACTTGCACCCAGAGAGTCTGCCAGAGAACGAAGTCTCCAAAAACATGATGAGTTATTCAGGATCGCAATCCTTAGAGTAAAAATTCCGGAAAATGTCTATAACCATAAGATTAGACCGTCTCACAACCAAAAACTGGTCAAACATGTGTAACATCCGAATACCATTTCACAACACAAGGCAAAATGAGGAAAAACTGCATCTCATTAAAACTCCAAAATGTATATCGTTACAACGAAAACGAAAATACAATAACACCAAAGCCAAAAATAACAACTGAGGCTACAAAGATGAAATAAGCTCACTCCTCGACCTGCTTGTCGAACCACTTCCTGAACTTCAACTTCATCTTTGCCTCTGGCTCCCAAGTCTCCTCTGTAGAACCACTGCAATCCCACAAAATCCTCAGTAAGGGAATCCTCTTGTTCCTCAGAACCTTTTCCCTCCTCTCTAAAATCCTCACAGGCACTGCCGGCACGGTCAAATCTGGCTGAAGATCCTCTGGAATCCTAGCCACTAACTCCTCTGTAGGGTGAAGACACTTCCTCAGCATCGACACATGAAAAACCTTGTGAAAGGCTTTCATAATCTCAGGCAACTCCAGGTAGTCCTCGAAACAGGTAGTCCAACCACGAAATCCATCGTAATCCTGTCTCATTTCCACTCTTGAATGGGTAAACTCTGCAAAAGACCACCCGGAACCTGATGCTCTGCCTTCACCAAGGCACAAGTGTTGCACTTCGCAACCCAGTCTGCTACATCCCTCTTCATCCCGACCCAATGATAGTACCTCTTGAGGTCATGGTACATCTTGGTCGCTCCCGGATGAATGGAAAACTTGCTCGCGTGAGCCTCTCCCAAAATCTGATGTCTCAACTCCACATCCTTAGGCACACAAACTCGCCCACGAACCAAGATAGTCCCATTCGCAGAGACCTCATACTCAGAACCAGTCACTCTCGTCGCATCTAGAAAACTCTGATCACTCTGCTGAGCATCTCTGATCCTCCAGAATATCGTCAATGAAAATGATGACAAACACGTCCAAATACTCCCTGAACACGTCGTTCATCAATCTCATGAAGGCTGCCGGCGCGTTAGTCAAACCGAAAGGCATAACCACAAACTCAAAATGCCCATAACGCGTCCTGAAAGCAGTCTTCCTGACATCTGCCTCATCTATCGGGATCTGATGATACCCCGATGCCAAGTCAATCTTGGAGAACCAAGTAGCACCCCTCAACTGATCCAACAACTCATCAATCCTCGGGAGTGGGTACCTGTTCTTCACAGTGACTCGGTTAAGACCTCTGTAATCGATACAAAGTCTGAAACTGCCATCCTTCTTCTTCACAAACAACACCGGTGCTCCCCACGGTGAAACACTCGGTCGAATGAACCCCTTAGACAAAAGGTCCTCTATCTGCTTCTTCAGCTCTGCCAACTCAGCTGGCGCCATCCTGTAAGGCGTCTTCGATATCGGTGCTGTCCCCGGCTCTAACTCAATCGTGAAAGGATCAGACCGAGATGGTGGTAATCCCTTCAGTGACTGAAAGACATCCTCAAAATCCTGGACAACCTCAATATCTCCCATAACAACTTGATGTCCTTGCATTTTACATAGTTTTAGTACATCTTTTATGCATCTTTTGCATAGTTTTAGCATCCATTAGCATCATATCTTGTTCCTTTTCTCTTCTTGTGCATTCATAGTAGTTTTAGGTTGCATTTGCATACATATGCATGTTTGGTCCTTTGAAATAGGTCTTTTGGAGCATTTGGAGCATATGGGACGTGAGGAGCAAGGAAGGACTTGGTGCATGGACGCAGCTCAACTGGATACACAAAGGAAGAAGGAGGAAGCCATCTTGAAGACCGCACCACTCGACCACCGGTCGAGTTCCTCAACTCGACCGGCCAAGCTTCAACTCGATCGAGCTGAGAAGTCAACAGTCAAACCCGAAAAATGTTGCTTCCCCCTTGACTTCCTTTGACCCTAAACCTAAATCCTCTTGTATTTAAAGGCTAAAAGCCACGAAAAAACACCAAGCTTTAGATTACTTTTTGTTTTAGCTTTTCTTTATTGTCTTTTACTTTTTGCAACCCTAAGCCATCTTTGTGTTCTTGAGCTCTTGCTCTTGAATCCTAGATCTTGGTATCTTTTGTATTTGCACTTGCTTATTTCAATAAAAGTTGTTTATCTTATCTCCTCTTTCATATTATGTCTCTTTCATTGCATTTGCTTGTGTTTACATTCATGTGTAGTGAGTAGTTTCCCTTTAGGGTCAAAGATGGGCTAGATTAGGGGATCTTTATGCTTAATCCTTCTTGCTTATGTTCTTAATCTAGAAATCTCTCTCTTTTGGACAAACCTTAAGGCTACATGACCACTACCCCTGGCTTGTATGTCCATAGGCGATTCTCCACATGGAAGTGATGGAAATCGTTGGAAAAGGTCCACTAAGAGCTCCAATAACTCTTGCTCTCGAAATGGAGTTCATAGGGGTTGGATGGATTAGTTTGAGCAATGATCCTATGGCCTCCAAGGCTTGATTCTCACTGGCTAACCCCCTGTTTCTGAGATCAAGTCTTGGTTGATAGCTTTCACCTTGGGAAAGGGTTAGCTAGGCATTGAGAAGCTCAATATCAAGAGATACCTTGATACAAGTTGTTTGAGAGCAAGATTGATTAAGTATAGCCTTCCTCTGATTGTAAACCCTGTCTTAGACCCTAATTTCGCATTAGCTTGTTAAAGTTCGCTGCCTTTATCGCTTTTTACTTCAACTCGACCCTAAACTCGATCGAGCTGGTTACTCTGTTCCCACTCGACTCGAGTCCTTGGTCGAGCTGTTGCTTACTGCTTTTTTACTTTATGCATTGCATTTCATTTCATTAGGTTGTTAGTGTTACCCCATCTTATTACTGCTTGCTTGACTTCCTTGTTTTTCATATTCTCATAGAGTACAAGTTTCCCATTTTGGATTGATACCCTTTACTATAATGACTATGATGGTTAAAGGGAATTGTTGACTGTGTTTGTGTTTGCATCTTACCACCTCATCTTCATATACCACTGTTGCATTCCACCACATTCATTTCATATCATCACATCCACACACAAATCCTATCATCAATTTGGCGCCGTTGCCGATTTGGGTTATTTTGTTGCATTTGAGTTTCAAACACACTTGGACGATCAAGCTATACCACCCCTGTTCTTTGTACTGCTGGGTTTTTGTCTCTTTTTGCAGGTGTATGCGAACTCGATCGAGTCGGTCTACAGAAGACTTGGTCGAGCTAGACTTTACACGGGTAGAAAGAGTTCAGAGGTCACAGAGGGTACAAGAGGAACCTGAGGTGCTTGTTGCTGATACAATGGATGTACCAGAGGGGAATGGAAACCCTTTGGGCAATGGACTCGGTCGAGCTAGGCAAACTCGACCGATTAGTCAAGGAGATGCTCCAAACCGCCACCAACAGAGACAAGGGATTGTTCCACCACCAGTGCAGAACCACAACTTTGAGATCAAGCTGGGAATGATCAACCTTGT